ATATTTTTTCTCTTTAGACTTTTGGGATGCTCTTCTATGTTTCTTAGCCATGTGGGATTGTTTTTAAAAAAAATTAAACCAAACAATATCATTTTGTTATGATTTTTTAACCCCAAATTTATTTTTTAATTATAATTATATAATTATATTTATTATTTAATATGTTTTACCTTAAATATTATGTTGTAGTTAATTTGAATCATTTTGTTTCACTTGATTTTATGGTTTTTAACTTATATATGTTATGACTTGCTTTGAATATGATTTGTGATATAAAAAATTATTTTTTATTAAATATTTTTAGTATTTTTATTTAATTTTTTAAATAATTATAACGTCTTCCGATTCTTCCGACCGGTCGAACCGATTCGACCGGTTGAACCAATGAACCGATAGCATGATCGGTTTACGAACCGATTCGATTCTGAAAATCATGTTTGATGCTTACCCTTTCTACTTCATTTTAAGTTTTTTTTTTTAAAAAAAAGTGATTAATATTGTTAAAAGATAACGAAATGTATAACGTTTGAGTCAAACTCTAATCGATGTGATGTAAAATTAGATTGGCCAATATGCATTTTCAAAATCAAATACGGAGGCTCTTTACCGACGTCGTCCTTTGTCGGTATTGTGCATGACCCATACCATGACTGACCTCATGCTCACCTCATTCTTATGTAAGACTAAATCGAACTCCCTCTTTTTTTTTTCCTTCTTATTTATCAAATTCGTACAAGAATTCCAAAACGGCACTGTTCAAGTGAGATTCAAAAACATGATCTTGTTTTGCAGATGGACGGTCAGCTTTTCAAAAATCCAGGCTTTGTAACAGTCTCTTATACTGTTTTCTCCAGCTTTTCCATCATACTTCCTTTGTAAATTTTGAAATGGCCACAACTGTTGGACACACAGAGTGGGGTAACGAGCCTTAGTGGAAGCAAATAGTGTTAGGCATGACACTTGTCTTATTTTTTTATATTAATTACACCAAACCAATAGTCTCTCCTCTATTCATGCCCTTTTCTACTGTTTACTGCATGAATCAATAGGGTACTTGGATGTGTCATGTCTCCGACTTTTCTGCTGTTTACTTATGATTCGAATCTCAGTTATATAATTTTTGTGCCTCCATCATTAAAAAAAATAACAATACTTCGAAAATAAAAGTGATAAAGAAAAGCAACCTGTAAAGAAAGATTTGGTGGTTCATTATGTAACTTTTTACTTTTTAATATTTCCACTATTCCCTATTCAGATCACGGGAACAACAACATTCACTGTTCAAAGGACATACTTTTCAGCAACATGAAGGCCCAATTCAACGCTTACAAATCATCAACCCTGAGGGGAAGTTATTTTTAACGTAGCCATTTGTGATGAGATAGAAATTAGAGATAAGTTCAGTCTTACCAATTGAAATAGATTCACTCTATACCTATGTTTCAAACAATATTCTTTCTTGGATATCCATAAATATTCTTTAAGATAGGTACATATGTATTAATAACACAAAATATTCGTATATAATGGACATAAATTAATTAAAGAAAATTTAAGTGGATTCACCAATATATATATATATATATATATATATATATTACATTGACCAATAAATTTTCCAATTTAAGAATATATTCTCCGAGCAAAACACAGATAAATTTGATTTCCAGGATTAATTTTTTGGAGATGATGCCCCCAAGATAACAACCAAGCAATTTGACCATCTGGTTCTAGGACCCTCTGCTGCAGAAGGCTTGCCCAACCGTTTGAAATGCCAAGGTTTTTTTTAACTTGTTGCTAGTCCAATAATTTAATATAAGTACTTGCATTCACTTCTAAAAACTATGGTACTGATATAACTGGGTTACGCGAGTAGGTGTCCGTTTTCTAGACAAAAGTGAATATTCTGCTCTTTCTTTTTAATGTCTCTGCTTGCTCGTTAATATATGATATTCTCATCGAAAACAAATAATAAAGAGACTTCTTTTATTGAGCTCCCAGTCCCTAAATTAGTCGCTGTGATATTCTTCAAGGTATATAGTTTTCTTTTTTTTTAATAGAAACTTATGTTTTCAATATGTTGCAGGAGTTAAAGCTCTCAACAACACCCATTTTTCAAACCCATCTCATGCCTCTGGTGTTGGAGACGGTATTGCATTTGTCACTGTTTTTACTATATACAACAACTCATCTGACAATCCAGTGAATAGTAGACTATCAAACTTGGTTACTGTTGGGAATGCTTCATATAGCAAGCCAGAACGATCAATGGCCGTTATGAATGTCTTCGTTAGCTTCATTCAGGTAACTCTTCAGTTAAACACCGTAGTGTCTGCTAGAGATTTCCATTGCTTCAAGTGTCAGAACTAACTCAGCGTCTCTGTTTTATGAGGTCTTATTTAATTTTAAACTTACCGACTCATCTTCCAATGTATTATGGCATTATTGTAATGTATAGAATTGTTTCCTAAATGCTTGGTGATCAGCTGGCCCTCTCCGGGTCGTAAAATCCGATGCCTCTTTTGATGCAAAAGGATTTAGTAAAGCACAGGCTTTTACTAAGGAGATTGGTGTGTCAGTACTGTTTCTACCATGTGCAACATATAATTGGACACCGCCTGAAGGCACTGGCCAATTTCATGGGATGCCTCTGGTGTGTCAGTACTGTATCTACCATGTGCTACACAGACACGTTGTAGTGGAAATGTACAATTTGCAAAAAAATATCCACATTCAGTGAAAACAGATGCAGTGCAAATATGTAAAGTTTTAGTTCTTGGTTTTAAGCAAAGATCAAAAGTGATTTTTTCATGCCTCTCTACCTGAGTGTTCAAACGTGTTGACAACATTTTTCATTTTTGCAATTACTGATCTTAGATGTGCCTAAACAGAACTTCATATAGATTACTTCTAATGAACCGACCATGTAATTTTATTTTGGCTACATAAAGCATGTTCACTAATTTAGTAAAATAAATTGGGTATTTTTAAAGAAAAATTAAAAATTACGGGTCAGGGTTCTAGCTCGCTAGATTACAAGGGTTCACATGTTAAAATTCTTTAAATAAATAATATCTTATATTTACTTCAGATTTATAAAAAAAATGATTTATCCGGTTTGAATATTCAAAACTGACAAACGAGTCAAATTAATCACCTAAATCAAACAAATCGAATTTATGTAATTTGGATAGTTTGTCCAATTAAAAATTTTAAATTATATAATTGATAAAAATAAATTAATTTGTATCAGGTATTCTATTTTTTTCAAATACCGATCATTACATGTCCATACACATATCAACTTTTTTTCTACTCAAAAAATTATATACTCGAAATTTTGGATACTTGAAAAAGAATGACTACTCATTATGAACCCTAATTACATATAATGTCAATGAGTAAATGGATGTCCCTTGTTCTCATATGTAATGAGATAAGGGGAGGTAAGATAGTAGGTTGCCCCCAACACTAGGTTGAGAGCAATTTCCGTAGGAGACCTCCAAATTATGAAATGCACTCCATGAGACTCGATATCACGACATCAAGATTAAGAGCCTCAGTGATATTACAATATTTTAGGCGAGAAAATAACCTCAGTGACCAAAAATCCCAGATAATATACGATTTTGATCAACTTTTTTTGGATTTGCGAAAATGACCAACAAAATCGCAATGCGATCTCTAATTCGCATTGCGATCTCCACTATCGCAAATTCGCGTTGCGATAATTGAAAATCGCGTTGCGATAGTTGAAAATCGCGTTGCGATTTTCCATTTCGCATTGCGACTTTCCATTTCGCGTTGCGATTTTCCAGTTCGTGTTGCGATAGTCTACAGTTGTCGTTGCGATTTTCCAAATTCGTTGCGATAGTCTACAGTTGCCGTTGCGATTTTCCATTTCGCGTTGCGATTTTTCAGTTCGCGTTGTGATAGTTAAAAAAAAGATTTTGTTTCTCTAAAAAGATAGTATCCGTGCGGACGTGTCGAAGACACGTATTACCACGACCACGACCACGACCACGACCACGAGACGGCGGCGGCGGCGCGCGAGAGTCCCCCTTGTTCTCTATCACTCAACAAGGAAGTGGGAAAGCCAAGCCTTAAATACCATTCTCAATAGTGTTTCCAATACTATGTGGGATTGAGCATTACCAACACTTGTTTCCAATACAATGTGATTATTCAGGAAACAATTAACAATCATGCACCTTAAAACAACTGAATTAGCAACCAATTGCATTAGTGTTATACGATTAAATATGTCATAATTAAAAGTCAATCTACAATCAATCGCGATTATTGCAATTTTAAGCAAAACATTCAAAAATAATATCACTATTTAAGGCTCAATCCCACATAGTATTGGGAACAAGTGTTGGTAATGCTCAAATCCCACATAGTATTGGAAACACTATTGGGAATGATATTTAAGGCTTGGCTTTCCCACTTCCTTGTTGAGTGATAGAGAACAAGGGGGACTCTCGCGCGCCGCCGCCGCCGTCCGTCTCGGGTCGTTGTCGTGGTCGTGGTCGTGGTCGTGGTCGTGGTCGTCGACACGTCCGCGCGGATACTAATCTTTTTAGAGAAAATTCTTAAGAAACAAAATCTTTTTTTTAACTATCGCAACGAATTTGGAAACTGTAGACTTTCGCAACAACAACTGTAGACTAAACGACATTTTAGACTATCGCAACGCGAAATGGAAAATCGCAACGCGATTTTCAACTATCGCAACGCGAAATGGAAAATATCGCAACGCGAATTTGCGATAGTTGAGATCGCAATGCGAATTAGAGATCGCATTGCGATTTTGTTGGTCATTTTGGCAAATCCAAAAAAAGTTAGTCAAAATCGTATATTATCTGGGATTTTTGGTCACTGAAGTTATTTTCTCTATTTTAGGCTACTCCTGCTACTGTTGATCTGAAAATGATTTCCCCCTCTTCTGGTTTTGTTTCTGCTTATGTCTGAATCTGTTTCAAGGAGGATGAGCGTTATGCCTGAACAAAGGATGGATCGCTTGACCGCCATGGCCGGCCAGCCCGAAAAGGGAAAACTGGAGGATGGAGATGTGCTATGTTTATATTAGGTAAGTAGTTTTATATTTATATCAACTTTTAAGTTATAATAATGTTTACATTGTTATGTTTTTATTGTTTTCCAACAGTGAATCAGGGACTCGTTACGTTAGCATTCGCAGCGGTGGAGGTGAACTTGGTTCTGTTTTCGAAATCTGTTCTAAGGCAAACTAATGCCGAGGCAACTAACACATTCAGTAGATGGATGGGAACTGTTTACCTTTTCTCTTTAATGGGTGCTTTTTTAAGTGATTCCTACTTGGGAAGATACTCACATGTGTCTCCTTCCAGGTTCTCTACCTTATTGTAAGTAAGCCTTACTCAGATTCAGATATCATTTACTCAGTTCAGGCTTATTGAACTGATATTTATTGTTATTTTTCGACAGGGGTTGATAACAATATCGTTGGTGACACAATTGTTTCTACTAAAACCCCAAGGTTGTGGCAAACTAGGAAAGTTATGCGAACCTCATTCTCCAGCGGAAACTGCAATATTTTATGTGGCAAACTAGGACAGTTTTGTCCTCTGTAGTGTTCATACAAATGTTCTCTCTTTGTGGAGCAAGGAGCTGCCATGGACAGAACAACGATCTCGACCTTCCATATCCCACCAGCTAGCATATTTGCATTCGGTATCATAAGCACATCAACATTCATTCTATCGTATGACAACTCATAGTTCCTTTATACTACACATATAACTACCCATTGCCGAAGAGCACATTGATAACCCAATTCCCACACTTTTCAATCCATCAGGTATTTGTGTTGCAAAAAATTCCATCTGCGCAACGTATACCAATGCTTCAGACACTCCCACCACCACATATTGTGGAATCTGCCGGAAAATGGTTAAACCGCTTGTGTTTTGGCCGTTGGCGTGTTTTAGCCTTTGTTGCCCGACGATGGCTGGCAATTATCATGGATGCCATTGCCAGGGCTATGCCGATTCCTATTCCCTTTAACGACGGTGATGGCCATTACATCGAAGAATGGGAAACCGGGTTGGGTTCCACCGGATTTGAATGCTGGATATTTGGATCGTTACTTCTTGCTCTTAGCTACATTGACTGCACTTAACCTGGTCCTTTTTATTTTTTTTTGAACGGTAAAATGAAGGGTGCAACACAAAGACTTCTCAAGAGGACACCCATCCTAGTATTACTCTTGTCCAAACACGTTTAACTGCGGAGTTTTGATAGGATCCGATGTATTAGTGCTGGTATGATCGCACCTAACTTGATCCTTTTTATTACTTGCGGTAAAAGGTATAATCCCATACCGTTCGAGAGCAGAGCTATAGACATGAAAATGGAGACTCGAAATCAAGCTAATGAAGTTTGAGCATGGAGAAAGAGAATGAACTGAATGTTTTCTCTTACAAAAACATTAGAGTTAATAAATTTGATTGTAGTAACTTAATATACATAATATATTTTTAAAATTTCAACTTTATGTAATAACTTACATTTTCATCAAAATAGAAATAGAAAACAAGGGATATCATGAAAAAGAAAGAAATTATATTATTTATAACATAAAACAAATTAAATAAGAGTAAAAAAAATTTAGCTGACCATATTCTCATATGTAATAGGATAAGAGAAAGTAGGATAGTAGGTTGCCCCCAACGCAAGGTTGGGAGCAGTTTCCCTGAGAGACCTCTGGCAGTCAAAATTATGAATTGTTCACCGTGAGACTCGATCCCACGACCACAAGATTAAGAGCCTTGCACTATTATCAAATAAGAACCCTGGACCAATTCAACGAGCAGAGAAAATAACTTCACCGAAATTTTGCTTCTCTTCCGTTGTCTTATATATGAAAATATTCCCCCACTTTGCCCGCCTTTTCTCCGGTCATCGTCCGCGGTGCTCTATTTGCAGACAAAGCTAAACGAAAACATTAACAACCCAAAGTCTACGTTGTTGACTGCGTTCACTCTAGGTATTAATACTACTGTCAGTACTGTGCTATCCTAGATTTGAGGTTTCATTTTCTTGCATTGCCACTTTTAAAACTGATAATGTGGCGAGTCTATTGTCTAGATTGTTGTTGATTTGTATCGTTCAATTTGAATGCTTATACAAACATTAATCATGGCTAGATAGCAGAGACTTATATGAAAGGTGAGTTTCCATTTTTTATGTACTTATTTCTGTTGTTGTCAAAACTGAATAGCAGTATTTTGATTAATACTATCGTCAAAACTTGCAGGTGTTGTAATAGCAGAGTATTTTGTCGGAACGATTCCATTGAAGTCTGCCCTTGGTTGGTGACAGATATATGCCACGGACGGGGGCAAAAGAGACTAAACTCCGTGAAAGCAACAACCTCAAGAAAATTAAGAATAAAAGTCCAAAATTTTAATTTTATTTTCTTAAAAATAATGAGTATACAAAAAATTTAATTTTCTTTTCTTTTTTCTTCAACACATTAAACTAAATTTAATAACTTTTCCAAAATAATGGGTTGCACTTGACCCTTATAGGACTTAGTGCATCTGCCACTGCTCATACTCCCTATTACCTGAGAAAGAGAATTTATTTATATCATACTATGTAACAATTCAAAATAAAATATGAAAAGAGAAAGAAATTTATTACAAAAATATCATTTAAATATGATATTATAATCCTGTAAATGTTGATTTTATCATAACTTCCTAAAAAGAATGTGTGATATATATGTCTAAGCAGGGAAAATCAAATCCTTGTAACTAAATTTTATTGTATTTATTATTAATAAATGGATTAAACGCATGCTTTAAAATTGAGGATTAGAAAATTGAAATAGCCTGCTCTGGAAACTGTGCCAACAATTTACCTTGACTTGGCCGTCTAAAGGCTTGGGGAAGGTCAACAAGCGGAAATGGGTGTGGCGCCTTGGAATCCCAACTAAGAAAAAGGGGTTCCTTTGCTGCGACAATTTCAACAGAGATGCTGAAGGGTCAAATTCTTTAGGAAGACTATAATTACTTAGAGTTTCAAAAATAGACCTTAAACTTTAGGAATTTACAAAAAAGTTTTGGCATTTTCAAAAATTAGAATATGACCCCAAATCCTTCTAAATTACAGATTTATCCTAGGAATTTCACACATTGAACAATTTAGTCCAATTGTTCTTTATTAATTACTGACTTAGTACTCAAGTTTTGAATTTATTTAATTAAACCCTATAATTTCGATTTTAAGTTGATTTTATTTTAAAATATGATTTAATTTGTAATCTCGATTTTGATGTGTGACAAAAACTATAAGAATTTATCCAAACTAAAACACTTGAACCAAGAAAATAACCTGAAGCCAGTGCGTGTTTCTCCGCATGATTCTCACTTGGTTGCTGAGATCCAATGACGACTGATGAGTGCTTAATATTGCATATATTTATTGTTATCTACTCCTTATTTTTTGATTGAATATTATTAATTTATCTTTATTTTGGGTTTATTTTGGACATGAGCTCTATTGGATTAATTAGCCCAAAAAGTAGTAGATTTTGGTGGTCCATATAGCATATTCCAGAAGACGATCAGAATTATCTTGAATATTTAATTGGAATTTACTTGACACAATGTTATCCATAAGATGAAGCAGAATTTAACTAGAAGTACAAGACTTAAATATTTATTTTTATCTTTTGTGATAAACTTTTTAGATTTAAGATTTTTAGTTTGATTATTTTATTATTACTTTTTTATTTAGGATTTTTAGTTTAATTATTTTATTTAGGAATTAGTTATTTTATTATAACTCTTGGTAGGATTTTTAGTTTGATTAGGAATTAGTCATAACTAAATTCCAGGGATTGAATTTGGAAATTAGTTCACAGAAGAAAAAAACAAGTTACAAGGGTTGGGCCTTATAGATTGTAACCGACAAGAATCACAAAGTAAAATTTATTTTAGTGATCGGAATAAATTGAGGCAGAACGAAGCTGGAGGCCATCTCTCATCATAACTATTTTCAATAATCTATTTTTCTTATTTTTAATTATTCAATTTATTTTGCTAAACCGTTTATTTTACTTTTGTTGTTTTCTTAGATCAATATCAATTTAAACCGATATTGGAAATTTCTAAGTCTATGCCGATCAATCCTATCTTTTCTATGCTACTTTCTTAACTTATTTGTTTGAGAAAAAAACTTTATTTATTTGACAATTTCGACGTTTTTCAACAACCGTACCTCTTGAGAACCTATGAAGTTATGATAAAGAAGTTCCAATATGAAATTTGGAATAAGGATTCAGAGATTCATCAGTTGCGCAATAAATTTATCTAACTTTTTAAAATTGGCTAAATGTATCTGACTTTTGCATAGGGTAGCTTTTAACGTGAAAATCTTCCAAGTTAGAAGGGAAAGTGGAATTGTGGAGGTGTAAATAGAAAGCGTTGCGAAGAATATGATAATTGATGAAAATGACCAAAAACCTAACGTTGGGCTAATACTCATGCCTGGCTTTTGGATTGCTGGCAGTGTCATTCAATGCCGAGTTTATATTTCGGAAATGAAGGTTAACGAGTAATTACTATAACTATGCAAAATCCTTTGTTCCAATTGTAGTAATTTGATAATGGATGAAGTTGACCAGAAACCCAAGCACTTGTTATTGATGTACTCTTGCAATTGTAGTATCAAGATAATTAACTCTTTATTTCACCACCAACTTCCTTTGCCTTACATGCTTAACCACTTTAACCCTTCAGAGTTGATTTATCATGATGTTAACGAATACTCAATCGATTGAATTATTCATATTAATCAAAGGATGAAGCTTGAGAGGGAATCTGATAAACATTACAGATATTTGAACAAGAAAAATATATGATTCAGGATATTGATGATAGATATTTTAAGGTTCATCTATTAGAAGAAAAAAATGACCCATAGGGTCATGCTTAAGTGTGGGTACTATCTTAATCTGATAAACATTACAGATATAAATTAGAGAATATATGGTTTGATGAAAGATATTCTAAGATTCATTCACCGGAAACAAAGGTACACCTTTGATTGGTTTTGTGGGTTTGATCTTTGATAAGACACTCAACCTCATGATCTTTAGGTGCCCCCACTTGCTACAGAGTCAAATAACTTATCTTGCGGTTGGCCGTGGGCACCGCCGCTTGTTCTCAGCCTCATGGCTCTCATATAATTCATTGTTTATTGCTCACGAAGCTCCAAATACTGCGCCGTCGGCGGCGTTTTAATATAATCTGACAGTCAGTTGTTCATAAACCATTCTTAATTAATTTATTCTACATCACTGTCTCGTTTCACAATTATTTGCTCTTAATCCACGTAAATTGCAAGCTACCAATGGCTTCGCATGTGCAAACCCCTAAGGTTTCTATATATACTTGTCCAACTTTAAGTCTTAATTCAATTCTTCAAGTATAGCCTTAGACCAATGGCTAAAGTCAGCCACTCCATAGTGCTCACCTTTTTCTTCATCTTTTGCATTACCGTTGGCACGGTTGAGTCATTAACGGATACCGGGAGACACTCTCGTCGTTCCCGAGCCAGGACCTTCATCGAGGCCTCGTGTCGGAGCACCAGCTATCCGGCCCTATGCATTAAATGTCTCACCGGACACATTAATTCCACTACTCCAAACTTGCAGCAACTGGCCCGTACTGCGTTGACGATGAGCCTATACCGAGCTCGTTACACAAGGTCGTACCTAGTGAATGTGGCTAAAGATCTCAGGGCAATGAAATCGAAGGAGTATCGACTGGTGAGAGATTGCTTGCTGCAGATAGACGATAGCGTCAACCAGCTTAGCCAATCGATCAGAGAGCTCCAGCGATTAGATCCCAAAGCTAAGATGACCGATGACATATTTTGGCACATAGATAACGTGGATAGTTGGGTTAGTGCTGCCTTAACTGATGCTAGCAGCTGCGTCGATGAGTTCCCGGGGCACAGGATGAGTAAAATGAAGGCCACCATCAAGAGCAAGGTCTTGAACGTTGCACAGCTAACAAGCAACGCACTGGCCTTATTTCACCAGTATAGTGCAAGGTATCGAGGAGCTGCCATTGAGCAGCACCCATAAGGTTAATTGGCTCGTTTTATGAAGATTTGAGCTTGCTTCTGTATGATCAATTAAGGTGTGAATATGGGGGTTTTGTTAAATGGTACTGGTATGTAAACAATGATTATGTAAATCTTAACATGCAAGTTCTGAAAATAAACGAAAAGCTTTAGGGTATTAATTTTTTAAGATCATATATAAAATGAGAAGGCAATTCAAATGAATAAATCTTAGATAGCAGCCTTCTAGTTGTAAAGAAGCCCCATAAGAGTAGTGACAAACCAACCCTATCTAGTTAATATCACTTTCCATGCATTTCGAGAAGTCAGCTGTCTGCAAATCACCCCTGCTATGCCGTACACGGTGCCTTCTGGTGACGTTGAGCTTCTGTTTCCAATAGCATAGCTATTTTAAGACACTTGAGAAGATGAGCTAAGGACTGATAATAGATGAAGACGTGTCCATCATGGTTTTCTTGAAAGCAACCAGCATAGATGAAGATGTGTGCTTTGACAAGAAGACCATAGCTGAGACAGAGGGAGAGGGAGAGGAAGAGAAAGAGAAATTGGAGCGTGGAGTAAAACTGAAGGATAACATTATCTATGAACCCTTAAAAGATAACTGTCTTCCTAAGAAGTGCGAATTGCGCATTCCTCAACATAATGTTAGAGTTTAATTAGAATTAGATCTGGCACAAATTGATTAAGAAAAATAGTTAATCTAATTTGATTGAAAATTGAATGTCTATTCTAGTGTACCTTAATTAAGGGTAGGAAACATAATTAAAGTAGACTCATAACTATGAAATTTCATGTGTAATGCAAAAATTATCTCTATAAATAGATATTAGAGGTTAGAGTCAGATGACAAGTTCACGGAAATTCCTCTTGTAGTCTTATATTTTCGATATTAGTCAAAATTCTTCCATTCTACCTGTGATTTTTCTCAATAGGATTTTTCATATAAAATATTGATGTTTGTTTTATTGTGCGATCACTATGCATGTTATTATGCATAGATGATGGTGTGAATATTTAGACTCTCTATTGCAATGAAAGGATAGAGAAAATTGTTAAATTTTATGTTATGTAAGGTTCAATAATTCTTGAAGATAAAATTGTTTTTTTTATGTGTTAGATGATAACATTATTAGTAAGCACGTCTTGCCTAATTCAAATAAAGGAGATTTTTATGTTAAACAAAATAATTATGGATATAACGATTTTAGGAAGCATAATAAAATTCAATTTCGTGAGTATAATGAACTTGAGAAGAAAAATATAATCTAGTTCGTCACAATAAATATTAATAACGAAAAAAGATAGAGTTGTCATTGATGATCGAGCATGTGTTGTTCATAAATACTACTTGTAGTAATAGAGTTGTGAGCAAAGTTGGTGCTTATGATGACTTTACCGATGTGAAGACTAAGTTATCTTGTACATTAAAGTTTGGGCAAGACTTGGTCTCGATTGACAATAATTGTTGAAAAATGCATTTTTAAAAGGTTTCGTGGAAAAAGTGAAGAATTTGTTTGTCGATGTGAAGATTTGATTTTTTTGGGTTTTGGTGTTCCATCGAATTTAGAATTTTGTCTTAAACTCTTTGTACTTTTAGAATTTGTGTAAAGGTGGAGATTGTTAGAGTTTGACCTGAATTCAAACTATCTCAAACTGATTAGAAAGAGTAGGAAACCTAGTTTGTTCGAAAATGTGAAGTCTGTTTTATTTTATGTTAATTGAGAGTATGGAACACAATTGGAGTAGATTTATTTTCATACAAATTTTCTTTGTAATCAATTAACTATCCTTATAGATAGACACTAAAGACGGGAGTTAGATGACAAGTTGTTCATGAGATCCCTGGCAAAATCAACGAGATAATGCGTTGAATTTTTTTTTTCACGAGATAGTGCCCTCGCCAGATTAATTGCTCAGATAGGGTGATCTCTACAGTCCCACGTCTCTGGGGGTAGGTCGCCATGCACGCCCAGCGACCTACCAGGTCGCCATGCACGCCCAGCGACCTACCAGGTCGCCATGCACGCCCCAACACGCTGGGCATCCGAGACCATCCGACCGAGGCCATCCGACCGATGCCATCCGAACGAGCTATGCGAGGGCATCCGAGGGCAACCGAGCGAGCTATGCGAGGGAATCCGAGGGCAACCGAGCGAGGGTAGGTCGCCCGGAGTGCATGGCGACCTACGTAGGTCGCCATGCACTCCGGGCGACCTACCCTCGCTCGGTTGCCCTCGGATGCCCTCGCATTGCTCGTTCAGATGGCCTCGGATGCTCTCGGATGGCCTCGGATGCTTTCGGATGGCCTCGGTCGAATGGCCTCGGATGCTCAGCGTGTTGGGACGTGCATGGCGACCTTTGGGGGCTGCATGGATTGCATGGCGACCTACCTAGGTCACTGGGCGTGCATGGCGACCTGGTAGGTCGCTGGGCGTGCATGGCGACCTATATGGGGACTGTAGAGATCACCCCATCTGAGCAATTAATCTGGCGAGGGCACTATCTCGTGAAAAAAAAAATTCAACGCATTATCTCGTTGATTTTGCCTGAGATCCCTATTGTTTTCTTCTATTTTCTGTAACCCCCCAGACCGATGCGGATAACCCGATCCGAACCGGGGTGTCACATTTGGGCCACCGGAGCGACCCACTGTAAAAATAGCAGAAAATTTCAAACTTTTTAAATTACATGTAAACTAATAAAATCAGTTGTCACTATTTAAAAATAAAACAGATTTCTAGACTCGTATATAAACACTATGACTATCATTCTCTTTTAACATATAGTTTCATTTCAAATCCTTTCTTTAGGTAGCAATATACAAATTGTAAAGGAAGAAGCATATGTTCTTAAAAACTCTAAATTGACACAGGGCATGGCTTTGGGAAAAGCATCACGTCTCCATAAATGAATCCATACATCTAACGTTTTATTACGATTACAGATAGCTTCTAGACTTTTTTGATGTTATGAACGCCCATTCAATCTTTTTACGTAATAGACTAAACCCAGAATCATCTGCCAATCTGATCCGCAAGAACAAAAACGTGCATTTAGTTTTTCAATCATCTTCTCGATAATACAACGATGACAACAAACACACGTGTTTATTTCTCCTATATATAGTTAATGCATGAATAATAAAAAATATCTCATAAACTTATCAAATAAATACCATGAATGAATCTACAAAATTGTGACGGAGTTTTACCGCTACATGGATTTGATTACTGGTTCCACTATAAGGTTTGGCCACTACCAGATGTCCTGATCGGTACATTTATGGTGACAACCACTGTCACCCCCTTTTTTTATTATTATTTTGAAATATCTAAAAATAAAGTTTAAAGGTTCAATAGACTAAGATCAATTCAGTATAATTTTCAGAAATTAGCCATTCATAAAAGAAAAGTATTCCACCTTTGCAGAACTAACAAATTAACTTGTTCATTTTTATGAAGTGAACTTTGGCCCGTGGGGCAGAGTTTGCCTGGGAAGAAAACCCTAAACCAAATTAGGATGCCATAATTCTTTTCTATCTATCGCCTATCAATGCCGATGGAGCTCTAAACATACCAGTTAGCATCTTTCAATTGATGATTGTTTTATCTGCATTTTAGTCTAGCTGAAATTTATAGTGTCAAGACTGGTTATAAAGTGGCTATCCCTGAGATGAAAGGACGGTCGCCCTTTAAAAATTTTAAATTCTCTTATAATTTAGATATTTTCTTTGTATTTTTATTTGGTAATCTGTTTTTACATACTAAAATTTTGTAAGTTCATACCCCCAAACATAAAATCTTACGTTTATCCCTTATCGTCCCTTGTTTCAGATGTTCATTCTTGGTTCACTAAAGGTCCATGGGGAAACTTTGAGCTGGTGAGCTACTGCCAAACATAAATCTATTGACGTGGGTCTATAAATGGTCATTTCTTATTCTTTGATGTTTGATCTTATTTTGATTAATGCATTATGTTAGCTTCTTTCAACAAATAACTTTTTGGATAAATGCTAATTTCATTACCCAAAGCAGCAAATATCTGCTACAGTTTTTCAAAGCAAACAAAGCTTTACATCAGACATCTAATTTTCAATTTGTACAAAGAAAAAATTAGCTTTATCGTTCTTAATCTGATTTTCTTTCCATGTCCCTAGACACTAGCTGGTGATGACAGTCTTAAACAGATTATCTATTAAGGAAAGGTAAGCTAAAATGAAGATTTCAATTGACCTACAATGTAAGCTTTTGTTGTAATAGTATAGAGTCTAGAGATCATTTGTTTTATTATTGTGAATTCTCTTAAGCTGTATGAGGTGATATATGTAACATCCTTGTTCCAATTTCAAAGTCGAAGAAGTCTGAGGTTGCAATTAAGGTTGAGACATCAAATTCATGAATCTCTCAGGCTTGGAGGACATGTTCTAATAAAATATAACCTATGTTAGAGACAAATCATCAATAAGGATCATAGGTTGTGGATTTGGTTCATTTAGAGGATTCATAAACTCAATTGACTCATCAATATTTTTTAAAAGTTATAAAAAAAATTGATTGTATTAGTCATATACTAATTATCAAAATAACAAATTTTAAATTTATTTTTTAATATATAATTAATATCTTCATCTCTTATACGCAACATGCATATTACACAAATTGCTAAAACTACTCTAAAGAATGGACTTCCGCATAATAATTATCAACATTATCTCGACCAAAATCTTAATTTAGTAAATCTCCCTGTTAAAACCACACAGCAGAAATAATCAAATAAGAGTAAGATATTCTCTATAAATGTACGCCTGACCCATTACAATAAAAGTATTTATAAAAGTAAGATGAGAAAATGTAAAAAATTCTACTTTTAAAACCAAAAATCCCTGAAACATCATTATCATAGTGACTGAACATAATTATCGTCTTCATCAACAATTTTTACCATCACTACCGGCATCGTGTAGCCTCTCAATGGTAGTGGTGGCGCTTCCACGCGAATTTCCTTACACCGGTTCCGGTGGCGATACGGGTCTGAACTCTCTCGAACTCCGAGAACCGGCAGGGAATGGTGATTCCACCTTGGTGACTAAACCCATACTCCTCTTCAGCTTCTCTCAATAGCTCGCCGAACAAAGGGTGGTTGAAGTAAACAATCGGCACCAAAACTCTGTGATAGTCGCCGTCTTTCTGGCCGACGTAGATTGCCAAGTGTCCTTTCGGAACTTCCATCAGCTTCTCGTTGGTTGGGTCTTGACCGATATGAACGTAACCCGCCCCGGGTTTGGCAGAGCATATGGATTTAGCCCCTTTAGCCAAGCGGCGACCCCAACTGATGAGCTTCGAGACATGGTTTGAATTAGAAAATGATCCTAGTCGTGTCAGGCGACAGTACCCACGTGGGTTTCGAGCTTTGCGGAAGAACCATCTCGAGATCCGGACAAGTCGTTTCCCGATCTTGAAACCTCGTATCTTTCTCATGGAAACGGGTACAACGATAATAAAGAGAAGAGCTTTGGGTTCTGTGTAGCTTTGTCGCTGTTTGTTTGGAGCGTAGAAGAAAAGAAATTGGTTAGGAGAAGTGTAAAGGCAAGGGGAAAGAGGGTAAGGCAGAGTTCAGAGAGAGAAGTTGGTGTATTTGCCATCTTTATGCCTTTCCACAACCGAGAATTTCATTCGGAAAATCCTAGATGTCTTGTTTTCTCTCTGTTTAGGCTGCCTCAAGAAGAATCTTATAGGTGTAGAAGCAGGGGAGATGAAGGAGCTGCCCTATTTATAAATACTAGTACGATTTAAACCAAAGAAAACTCGGGGGTGGGAGTCAACAAGAGGAGGAAACGGGGTTTTGAGAAGGGGCGGGGCAGTGGCAGGCGCAATCGAGTGTTGAAACTTGGAAGGAGAGGATTTGTGGTTTAAATAACAAGGGAGGTTTAAATCATATGTGGCTGCTGCCTGCGGCAACTATTATTCTGGTTAATAATGAGTATGATAAATCTCATATTTTAATTTATTAAAAAGTTTTGATTTTTATAATTATTTGCGTGAAATGTCGACATTCGTTTGGAATATAAAATGTTTGAATTTTATTTTTTATAATAATATAATTATAAAATCGTATTATTATTTATTTATTTTTTAATTATTCATAATATATAAATATATCATATAAATATAATTTTCAAAATAAATTTTAAAAAAGAATAACACTCTTTTTTATAATTAAAATCATCAAGTAGTTTATTAAATTTATTATTTAAATTTATAAAATTAAGATTTATCATTCAACTTTGTTATTGATTTGTATATATTATAAAATTTTTAATTTTATCAATTATAATATTAAATTTTAGTTTTACATTTAATTATATCATTTTACTGTTAAATATGTAGCAAGAAGATAACATAGTCAATAGTTACTAACGTGATCTGTCACCAAAACAACGCTGTTTTGGTATAGTTATTTTTATGTCTAAAATGTAGTTTTAGACAATAAATTTTAGGGGTGTACCAATTTCGTCACTAAATTTTTAAACATATTACATTTTTGGCATTGCACTTTATGGTCGTTGATTGCGACCAATCATTGATCATCTTCCGTAATAATATTGTTACCAGAATATTTGTATTTCACTCATCTCTCCTCTCTTAAAATTGGTTTTCCATGAACACCATTTAAAATCGATGAAATTAAACAAAAAAATTGTCATCTTTTTAGATGTTTGGAGGTTTTCTTAGAATTATGACATTTGGGATGTTTGTTCAAAATTTTGAATGGTGAGAAACATTATTTCAAGAAGATAAACAACATATCTCAAAACTAATCTCATCAAACGATCATTGGAAGATATCGGAGTATTAATACGTCAAACTTTTAAATAGATATTCGTCAATTTTGACTAGGTTTCATGGAAAACAAATCTCAGGAGAAGAAAGATGAATGAAATTTAAACATTTTGGAATCTATCTTGCAACGAAAGACGAACAGTGACAGTCGATGATTGGCTGACGCTAACGACGGAAAATTGTAGTGCTAAAAAAAGTAAATTATTTAAAAGTTTAATAACAAAAATGGTACACCCTTAGAGTTTAATTCCAAAAAGAAAACTGTTTAAAAGTTTAATAACAAAAATGATACATTCCTAAAGCTTAGTGCCTAAAACGACATCATTTTATACATCAATAATCATCACTAAAATGACCTTGTTTTTATATGATAGGCTAAATAAATAATTGTTAACATTGTCATCATCTTGTTAAGTACTTCATATTTTCACTATACAAATAATAATTCTACAATTTTTAAAATTAAATTGGACCATTTTCAAAGAGTAATTATTAAATTAATTAAAATAAATAAAATTATAAAAAATTGATATCTCAATTTATCAACACTGATAGAAGAAATAATAAGAGGGAATGTCTCTTCTTATGTGAAAGCTTGAGAGGGCATTAACATATTTCCAGTATTGAACAGATGTTTGTTATCGATTTACGAAAATTTTACTCCCTCGTGTATCACGATTTTAAATTATTTAATACGCACTAATTTGCCACCACAACAATGATTCACTTCAATACGACACTAATACAATATCTATTTATGAACAAGACTTTAAGGGACTAAATTTACAAGTATTTTCAGTAAAACAATATCCATTTATTACTTACTTCTACTTTGAGTAATAATTATTTTCAGTAAAACAATATATATATATATATATCGAATATCCATGACACAAGACGTAAGACCAGCAATTAATTATGGGTCCATTAATCAACCCAAAAACCACCATCATTCTCTTAAATATATAATTATATTTTTTAATTATAAAATTAAATTTGATGATAAACCAATTTAAATTAAATATTACAAAAATTAATATAAATATTTTTTCAAAATTATTTTTTAATTATAATAACAAATTTTAAATATAAATATTATTTAAATTTGAATTTACTTTATTCAATTAATCTGTGATAATTACAATATAGTATTTATTTAAAGATAACTCTTAATTATTTAATATTGAACGCTGACATCATTGACACTTATAATGCTCGAACTTGAATATGAAGGAATAATAATAATTTTTACTGTTATTTAAATTTGGTAGTAACATATTTTCCTTTTTTTTTTCTTTTAAAATATTATATTTATTTTAAATATTTGAAAAACTTTGGGCGGTGGGTGGGGTTAAAGTGGCCGTACACCGTATTCATGAAAAAAATGGGTCCCGCTAATGGAATATCGTGGTAATAAAAACAAAAGGCCACAATGCTTAACAATCTTTATCATATTCCCCCACTCTCACAATCTTCTTTTTCATTGGTTCTGACGATTGTATGATTATCTTGACAACATTAAAGGAGGACACGACATCTGATTTTTTTTAAGCGTTTAATTTTATTCGATTTAAGGTGTTGAATAGACTAATAATATTAAGAAAAAATTGTATAATTTAAAGTTTCTCAAATTTATTTTTTGTCTCCAGAGCTCCAAATGTCCTTGAACTATATAAAAAATTATGCACGTCCTTATTTTCTTTATTCGGTTGAGTATTCAAACCGATCAAATAAATTATTTAAATAAAATGCGACTATTAACTTTACTAAGTAACAATCAATCTTGATAGTATAACAATCAACGTAGAAGGATAACGTGACAAAAAAAATTTAATTAATATTTTAATTAAAAGTTCAAAAAGTTAATAATTTTTCAAACTTCGAGTGTTTCTTTAAGTCTTAAACATAAAATTATAAATTCAAAAATGTTTATAAATATTAAAATAAAATTATTTATATAATTAAGTACAATAAAACATAATTTAAAATTTATTGAAATAAAAAAATAAAACATGTCTTTCAGAAAAATAAAGAAAAACATTTGAATATTAAAAATTAAAAATTCAAACTCAATTTATTATCGTTCTTCAAATGTATACGATGCCCGTTATCTTTTATAATAGGATAGAACCTTGTATGAAATAGTCGCTGCAATATAAGATTGATTTCATTGAAAATATATTTAAAAAACGATAATAGATTTAGAACGACGAGAGTCGGATTTGCACAAAGAAATTCAAACTTTTAAACCTTTTATTTTTACAAAATTTAATATTTCAATTCTTACATTTTTATCGATTTCAATAAATTTATAATTTTAATAACTTTTAAATATTTAAATATTTGTTAGTTATTAAATAATTTTAGTTTATTTAAAAATATTTTTGAATAATTTTAAATTTGTGTATTTTTTATATTTTTTGTGCTTAAAATAAACTCTCACGTTTTTCACTTTAAAAAAAAATTAATTAAATCATTACACCACATCAACATTTTTGTTGTCTATAACGTAACCAAAGTTGATTATTATGTCAACAAGATTAATGGTCGCACCAATCACACCAATATAGTAACGTTCAACATTGATCAAAAAATCTTTTTGATTCATTTTATCAATTAGAATATCCAATTAGATGAAAAAAGACATAATTAATTTTATTAAATAATTGGAGGTCATTTTAAACCCTAAAACCTTTATTTTATAAAGTTTGTACATATAATAAATTTATCACCAATAAATGTAACTTTTTAGTTTGTACATTTAATAATTTTATCGTTGATCAATGTTTGATGTAGTAGTAAGATATATAAACATTTGATAAAATATATTTTATTAAAAAAATTAAATTTATTTTATAAATTTTATTTATATACTAATTTTATTATGGTAAATGTTAAATGTAATAATAAAATATATTATGACTTCAATAAAAATATTATTTCAAATATCAGAGATATTATTACTGAAAGCCATGAACCGAGCAATAAAACATATGTGAAGAATAAAATAATAATAATTTTATGAATAAATTAAAAATTACAGATGTTTATATTAAAAAATCATCTTACTTGAAATTTATTAATTTGATATTTGTGGATCAACTCTTTGTTCCGTTAGTTGTTATATGTACGGAGAGGCCTGTACTGTACCTGCATGTTACGGATGAAGCTCTCGAGTGCTTCCAAGGGATAAAAGAAGTTGCTAACATTATGTCACATAGCTTTACCGAGCCATAAAAAAATAGTTTTTACTGATCCATCAACTCATACCAAAACTTCACTTTGCCCTATTACTCACATTCTTGAAGATTAAGATTTTTTTAAAGAATTTAATAAGCTGTGGAGAGAGGCTGGCGTTCGGTTGAGGTCGAAGGAGGTGTCGCGTGTATAGTCAGTAAGCTCATCAAGCCAAAGCTGGGTCTCTCTGTAGTGGGTCTTCATCTTCAAGAACCGATTTGGACTTGAAAATTGCAAGAGAAGGGGCTTTAGTTTTTTTTTGGCACTGTTTAGTCGGCTTAAATGGATTAAAGTAATGGACATCCTTCCAAGGAGATCACAATCACAGATAGAGCAATACACAATCAAGCAAGCAGCTACAATTTATATCAGACAGGTCAGAATGGTGGACCAAAGTAAGATATCATTAGGTGGAAGAAACTACTTGGGAAACCAAAGGAATCTAAGAAACAGACGAGAACACTTGTATCAAACATGACGTGCAACTATTAACACACTTCATTAAAGAATTGCTCCTACACTTGCACAGAAAGGCCTCCTGATACAGACCAGAGAGAAATAACCGAGCACTAGTACTCGTATAGCTGCAACTTCCAGATGAGAAAAAAGCAAAGTTTCACAAGAAGAAAAGGCAACCAAACACCAGTAAATCCATAATCTTAGCAACATAGATAAGTTTACAGATACATCAAATCCAAAATCTTAGCACAAAAGATTAGTAAATTACAGATGCAAGAAAAATATCGGTTCATGCATATTTGTTTCAAGTAATACGTGACTCGAATATGATGTCCCATTG